GCTTTGAGGTCCCTCCCAACCCAAACCAGTCTGTGATTCTGATTATTCCCTGACCTCTGTCATGACTATCAAGGCACCTTCCAGTGGCAAGTGTCTTGCAGCATCTCCAAGCAAATTCTGGGCTCATAATTAAGCTCTCGATGACCAAGGGGTTTCCCCTGTGCAAGATGAGTGATTCGAAGGTGTAATCCTCAAAGAAGTTCCCCTGCATAGCTCTGCAGGGTGTCCGTTAGCTTGGGAAAGGGAATCTGCTGTGGATCGCAGGAAAAGCATCTTTCAGGGACCGGCAAAATTTGAGACTTTGTAAACACAACTGCAAGGAGTCCTGGGTTTGTGCTGGCAGAGATGAGTTTGTAACCTCCGTGGGGAACGACAGCACAACCCCAGGTGGCCACGGGAGCTGACCCATGCGGGGATGCAGTCACAGGCAGGGAGTTACCTCCTGCCCTTGCTGTGCCTCTGCCTTCCCCACCACAGAGGCTGCGGGAAGTGGCTGTGCTCGTTCAGAGGGGGATCAGGAGAAGCCCTTCCTCTGGGAAATTTGCCCATGGCTTGTTTGCAGGCTCTCGGCTCCAAGCCTCTGAGAAATTACAGTGTTCCCTCTTCCAGAGTATCCTGCCAGCCTCCTTTGCTTACAGCCTATCTGCTGGCTGTTTAATCACCCAGGAAGGGTCGTGTCCTGTGGAGGTATTTGCAGGATTATTCTGTTCAAGCTCCCTCCTCAGCAGAGCAAAATCGGAGCTCCAACAGACTATTGATTCCCAGATGCAGGAGGAAGGAGTTGTGCTCAACTGAGCCTCTGAGCTGCATCACCGTGCCCCTCTATGGTCAATTCAGTGCCTTTCTGCTTGGCCTGGGAGGGATCCCCCCACGGGTAGGGAGCAGGCACCCACTTTGCACATCTCCATCAGGTGCCTGGGATCCTCCCAGTCTCTCAGGGTGCCTGCAGGCAGGTTTCACCGTATCCAGTCTTGGCAACACTGGTCCAGGTTGGGCTCTTATGGGTTTTGAAGGTGCCACGTTGATTTCCAGGGCATGGGATCAGGCTCCCGAGCGCATCAGGCGTTTCCCACTGAGGAGGAGGAGCAGCAGCACCCGTGGTGGTGTGTCTCAACCTTCCTAGCTGTCGAGAGCAGCTCACCAGCTTCCTTTCCATGTTTTATATGTCAGGTACATACTGCAGTGGCTTTGAAGCCATTTGAAATGTGCCCACGTCGCCAGATCGATTGGGTCTCAATAGCTGAAACCTTAAAAATTGCAGTTGTATGTCAAGAGGGGATTTCTGTTCATGTGTCCCAGCCACAAAAGACAAATACAAGATCCCGTAAAGACAAACTGAGATCTAACAGGCAAATACTGTGACCCTTCTGTTAGAGTACTGAGAAAGTGGAGCAAGACCTCCTATTCTCTGTGTGGCACCGGGGTGTTAACAATCGCCCACCTGCCTTCAGCTCAGATGTTGTGATGCTGATAGCTTATTAGCTGTAATGGCCAGAGGCCAACTGGCACAGCCACGCTGCTGACGCGTTCATGTATCAGCGGAGAGACCTGCGTTGCAGCCGGGGAGCTGCTGGGCAAGGCAGCAGTTGGCGCTGGATGCCAACTACCTCTGAATAACTGCTGCTGATCCCCCCCGTCTTCTCAGCCAAGCTCAACAGGGTAAAAACATCGAGTAATTTGTCTTGGGATGTGCCTCTTTAGGGATATGAGGAAATAAATCCATGAGCCAGAGACGTATAGGAAAAGCAGATTTACCCAGATCCTTGGTGACTTCCAAGTGAGGGATCTCAGGCCCAGATTTTGCTAGCAGAGAGGGGAAACAGCCCAGCAGAGCAAAGCAAAATACATTTAATTTAAGACATGCAGCTGGGAAAATGTTTTCAATCAGTCACCGGGAGGCTGACGTTAAAGGAAAACGGGAGTGATTAGTCGTGTTTTAGATAACATGGTGAATTGTGAGGGGAATGTGTCTAGGGCCAAACCTCAGGGCCAGCAGCCAGGCTGCAGGTCCTGTTCCATGGGCTCCCGCTCCCCCAACCCTTGGCTGAGTCGTGGCATCGCCTCTGACAGCTGCTCCATCAGCACCGTGGGGACATCCTTTGGGTCCCTAAAGCTTCCTAAGCCCCCAGGCTGAATTTGCTCTAAGGTACCTGAAGTGAGGAGGAACTCAGAGAAGCAGTGAGGGGTCAGGTTTAAGGTTTGTGATGTGCCCTGTCCGGGCACTTCCAGCCAGACCCAGATTGGGTCCAACACAGAGGAATCCCTTTTCTACCCCAAACTGGCTTCACACCCATGTACGTGGTGCCATGTCTTCTCCTTCCCTCCGCCTCCTGCCGCGTGGCTGCCTTCTGGGGTCAATGGTGCCGAAAATGCTCCATGGTGTCGGGAGAGGCCGCAGGGTTTGCAGTGGTGTTAGTGTGTACGTTCAAATGTCTGCCTCTGTGTGTGTGTGTTCTGGGGAGGTAACAGGAATTTCCAGAAACCCTTGGTACCCTCGGTCAGCACAGCCGAGGACTGACCCATTTTGCCCAGAAGTTGCTCTGGGGAGAAGAGGCTGGGCTGAAATCATCCCTGGGAAAATCAGAGCAGAGCAGTGTGGTGAATGCTGGCTTTTGCGGGGGTAGGTGGGTAATTTCCTGGACCTTACTTTGTCTCTGCAGTGTCCAAGAGTTGGCTTGGTGGTGGGTCACTGATGCCTCGTGTTACTCCAGCCGTAACCTGAGCTCTTCACTCAGCTAGCGCCGCGTAGCTTTGGTATCCCCTTACAGTCACGGGGGCTGCAGACTCCGCGAGATGCCAAGAGGAACATCTGCACCAGGTTTTAAAGCAGATGAGAAGGGGAGTGCTGTAAATTCAGCCCCAAGGTGCCACGTGACCCCATCTCCCTGTCTCCTTGCTTTGCAGGGCGGCGCAGCCTCTCTGAGGCCACAGGACTCCCAAAACCTGCTGACGGTCCGCAAGATCTCCATTTCCCGAATGCACTCCTTGCCCAATGACAGCTACATGTTCCGGCCGGTGATGCCAGCGAAAGCCCCTTTCCCTCTTCACGAAGTGGAGATGGAGACATATCCCTGCAAATCCCAAAGAGGTACTCTTTGTGGAGTTTTCCCTCCCTCCTCCTAGCCAAAGCCGTGGGGACGCGTGGTGGTTAGGTGGGGAGCGAGCAACCCGCGCCGAAGAGGGCTTGCTCGCTCCAGCTGGACGCCAGCAGCAGGGCTGCAGTTTCCCACGTGTGTTTTCACCACGTGCCTGCGTTTTCCCTGGAGAAAGCTGGTGGCTGGGGCGCCTGACTGGTGATGAAGGGGCTCCCGAGCAGTGTCAGAGGCGCAGAGGACAGGCTGGTAGCTGAGGGAATGGGTACAGGGTGCACAATTCTGCTGCCATCAGCCCCGACATCGTGCCTACGGATCAATAACATCACCGTGGGTAAAAGCCGGAGTCGGTGTTGCTTCCTGACAGAGCTCCTTTACAGCTGTTCTTCCAGGCAGCCTTCAGGCTCAGAGCAGTGTCTTTTTGAGCACAGCACATGGAGTTCAGAGACGCCGGGGTTTCTCTGGGAGCATAAGGATTAGAAACCACTCTCCAGTGCCCGCCTAGCCCTGCCTGGTAACGAATCCTGCGGAGAGACCCCGCAGCCAGGGAAGCGCGGGCTGCGCAGAGCCTCTGCGTATGCATTTACCCAACTGCAGCCAAATCCATTTCCCCTAAAAGGCCTTTCTCTCTCTTTCGTTGTGCGAGTTGCTTTGAAGGGGAAATCAGACGGGAAAGAGCGGCCTCCCTAAAAGCACGCGTGCTTCTCGCGCCGCTCCCGAGGACTTGCCAGCCTGGTTTCCTTTGATGCGAAGTTGTTTGAAATGCAAGAGCTGCTTGGCCAGATGAGCCGTGGGTTGGCAAACCTTGGTGGGGCTGGCAGGATCTGCTCTGATTTCCTTGGGTGAAGTAATTCGATATTTGTTCAAACTCTCTGGATACCGGTTAATGTTCTCTGCTCACTATTTATTATTATTTCACCTGCAAATTCTTTTGCTAAGCAACGAAAACAGAGATTGAGTTTCATGGCTGGACTACTGGGGATGGTTTTCATCTCTGTAGTGGGTGTAAATCAGGTTTTATACCAGTATAAAACTGCTGTGATGTTGGCAGGGGTGGGTAGAACGGACCAAGAGTTTCCTCATTTCCCAGATTTCCTCCCAAGAGCCCTTGGGCGATGGGTATGACAGGAGTTTGCTTTTTACCTGGTCTGGTAGGTGTTGTGCTGTGCTGCTTCTGAGCTGCCCAGGCTCTGATTTAAGTCTCAGTCCCATAAGTTACGTGTAGGTAAAACCGAGCATGGAGACACTCACATTAGCATTTGTGTTTTCATGGACTTCTCAGTGTCAGTTACGGATTTCCGGTCCTCTCCCAGTACTTTGGTGACTACACCAGTCACCCGTGAGATGACTGGGCCTTGTGTTAGTTTGGGCATAGATGCAGTTTTCTGATTTACTAGAAAAACAAGACAAAAATACACAAATCCAGAGATATTCAGTGTCCCTGAGTATGCAGTTTAGAGAGGTTTTTGGTTTCCTATAGGAGAGCTAGGTGGCATGTTTCCAGGAGAAGGAAATTCCAACTAAGGACAGGGAGGAGAGCGCAGGGGTTTGATTTTATGACCATGTTTGTGACAGATTTTTCTGACAAAGTTTTTCTGCATCATAAAAAACCATTCTGTAAAGCCGTGTTTAGCACATGAGCAGCAGAGGCTCATGAAACCCTGACTGTGGGAGAGCCCAAGAACGAACTAGGGAGAAGTGGGGCAGGTTGGGGGGTGGGAAGCTCGCTGCTCTGCTCTTTGTGCAGCGTTCTGGAGAAAAGCTCCCTAAGAAAAATGATTAAACACTGACTTTTCTTTCTTCCCGACAACAAATCTCCTTCTGAAATGCAACTGCAGTCTGTCTGGATGGCTTTTGTCATGGGTTCAAGTTCCATGACCTCAGGGCGAGATCTCTTGAAGTGATGGATAGCCGTGTTTTCAACATGGAGCAGCAGTGTAGAAACAGACGTTGGGCTTCAGGCTAATGAGGACAATAAATCCTGCAGCCGAAAAAATAAAATAGCCAAGGATCTTTCAAACAACGCAGAACTGCAGGAGAGCGGCACCACGAAGGGGCTGGGGAGGAGGGATTGTCTTTAGGCTCAGCCAGGGGACCAGGAGCCTTCAGGATGAGAGTGATTCCTGCCCGCTACGTGAGCTCGGAGGCTGGCAAAGCCCTCGGAGGGGTCTCCACGCTGGTGGTCGGACCACGTTCGGTCAGGGTCTGCCTCATGGACGGGCAGCGGTGGTGGCGTTTGGGCTGCAGTGAGCGGGCACGCTGCTGTGGGCGTGCCAGTGGCGTCTCCTCCTGGAGAAGTCGGTGGGAGGGTGCTGCCTGGCAGCACTGCGAGCACAGCCCTGGTGTGCAGACCTCCCCGGTCCATGTTCTGTGAACAGGCAGCATTCCTTTACAAATCCACCTAGGCAATGCTCCTGGGAAAGCAGCAATGGCAGGGTTGCACATGCAATCCCCCTCCTGCCCTTCCTTTGCTGCCCTGTGGTCTTGGGGGCTGCCATCCACCCTGAGTGTCACAGGAGCTGCTGGAGAAGATTCCTGTTACGGGAACAGAACATAGAGGCTGTGAGCATCGTCTGTAACGGGCAGTATCCCGGAGCGGGCAGAGCCACACGTAATCCTGCGGAATTGCAGAGGAGCCTCCGTCTGTAACCCCCTGCCATCCCCGATCCGATACAGCCAAGTATTCAAGAGACAGGACAAGGGACATCTGGGGTTTAATCCTGGCACTGCCCAAGGGTTAAGCTGAGGTTTGGGATTTCAGCCAACCTAGCCAGGCTTTTCCTTTCCCCTCCTGCATTTACCTCCCTCCTGGAGTCTGTGGGCACCGGTGCTGCCTCAAACCTCCACACCTCCATGCCAGCGGTCCTGATGACTGTTCTCTTCCTGTTTCCTAGGATCCATCACTTCCATCCGCTCCCAGCCTGTGGGAACATGTTCCTCTCTGAGAGTCCCATCGGAGTCCTTCCAGCTGGCAGCCCGCTCTCCCAACCCAGACGGCCGTCACCGCTCGAAGATCCTTCCCCCCCACGCTGCACCCCGATCTCCTACTCTCAACAAGCTGCTGTGCAGACAGGTGAGAGGCCAGGCGCCGGCAGAGGTAAACTCCTTTGGGATCCTTCCCTTCTTTTCCAGTTCCCTCTCGGGTTTTTTTTCTAGGAGCTGAGGCAGAATAATTCCCCTTTCTAGAATAAAACGTTTCTGGTGCCATAAACTTTCATGTACTCCAGTCTCAGCAAGTGACACTGAGGAAGTCCCTTTTTACCAAATTTCACCTTTTTGGTGTACTTTTCTATGGAAGAACTGCTAAAACGGAGAGAAGGCGACCAGTTTGGTTCTGCCAGGGCCGTGAGAAGCCCAGTGCCGTGTCACAGGTTGCCCTGACGCAGGATTTGGTGCTGGAGCACATCCGAGACGGTGCAGAAAGGCCCAGCAGATACCAGCCCCGTACACACGGGCTCTGGGTTGGGTCTGCTGGCTGGCAACACCGCGTGCCCCTGGCACGGCGAGGGTCTGACGGGGGCGGGCACATTGGGGCGGGGATGGGGCGGTGTGGGGCGCGTTAGACC